TGGTGTTTGTGAATAGGATCACAAGTCCGCATCTTGTACAGCAATTAACCACTAAGAAGAATATATGCAGTGTATTATTTGTTGAAACTGTCCTTCCGATTTGAGTTGAAACTGCATCACTGCTATCTCTTTGTCAATAAAACTTTGAGAAAAAAAAAAAGATAGTATCTGAGATGTGGAAAGCGTGAAAATAGAAGCTTTATGGAGAAAATGAGGGAGTTTAGGTTGGGTGTTGGTTGGAGTCTGAAAGAGAGCCTGCTCCATGGCAGGTGCTCAGCAAATATTTGTTGAATGGATTCTGTGGGAAACTGGGTTCCCAGCTCCTGAGTCCCGTGGCTTCCAGCAAGTGTTTGTAGTTCAGTCTGTTGCAAGATTAATAGTTTGGGATATAGGTAAAAATCTCAATTTTTTAAAATTAATGGGAAAATCATGATTTTCTGAAAGCTTTCAACATTATTTCTGATAAACATAGTAATATATTACTACGGTCGAGTAAAGTTGCAAATCTATCATGCCCATAGTTACCTTTTCCTACCAACTTTTCTATAGTGGACACTGCAGCTCTGTCATCCGGCTTCAGTGACTACCAGTGGCTAGCCAGTCTGAATTTCATCCTCCATTACTTTAAAGCAGATCTCAGATAGATTATCACCTAATCCATAGACATACTAGCCTGCTATTCTAAAGGAAACAATTTTTAAATTTTAATCCTGGACCTGTAAGATAGCTTAGCAGACTAAGCACCTGCTTAGGCAAGCGCAGGGACTACGATTTGATCCCTAGCACCACACGCTGCTCTGGCCCTGCCCCCAGGCTTGCTGAGCTAGCGCTGAAGTCTGGGCGTGGTGGCGCACACCTGCAATCCCAGTGCTGCGGAGGTTGAAAACAGGAGGATCACTATGAGTATAAGCTGCATAGTGAGAACCTGTACCAAATACATTTTTTAAAAAATTAATCTCAATAGCAATAGCATATCATGCTTAGAAATTGCTAATTATCGAAATGCCATTCATTGCCCAGTCTAATAATGTTAAAATGTTTTTGAGTTCCTTCATATAATTTTTTTCAGTTTATACCATCATCCAAGTGAGACCTGGATAGTGCGATTATATGATGAGTCTCTCATATCCCACCTACTCCGGAGCTTCTCCTCCTATTTTTCCTTCACAGTGTTTTAGATGACAAAACTGACTGATTATAGGAAGTTCCTACAGCCTGGGTCTTGTTCACCGAATCCCTGTGGTGTCCCATAACATGTTCTTCTGTCTCCTGATATGTTTTTGCAAATTGAGAATTGATTTTGAGATATAATTGGAGTCAAGGTTGAATTTTTGGCACATCTACCTAATGAGTGGTGGTGTCTCCTGGTGCCCCATATGGGCAGACGGAGGATGTCTGCTCGTGTTGTTCTCCTTGATTTGGGTATGAGAAGACCTGGCCCAGAGACAGCGGAGTCCAGCCATGGTGCCTGCCTGGCCCGTGCTCCCTCTGCTCTACCCTGCTGCCTCTGGACGTGCAGCGCCTTTGTAGAAACCGTGAGGCCATGCAGAAGGCTTCGGCTTGTCCCTGTTGTGTAGTGGCTTTGGGCATTTGAGGAGATGCACCTGCTCATGTACATGTATGGCTTTTATATAAAAGTGCATCACATGAGCTTTTAGCTTTAACTTTTGCTGGGTTCAAAAGACAGAGTGCTGCTTCTGTCTATCTCCTTGCCTCTTGCCCTAGACTTAGGTGTCCATCATCCCAGGAGAGAGTCAGCTACAAACAAGAGAAACAGAAAAGGCTGTGTCTTATTCTTGGGCTTCAAAAGTCCAGGTTCTGGCATTTTGGGGAAATCATGCTTTTCACCTTGAGACCTTTTTTGGCCCTGGTGCTGTGACAGTGTCCTGCTAGCCCGGGACACTGCTGTGTGGATAAGCCTGGTGTTGTGCAGACCCTCATTGTTGGGTGCTTTTTGTGCCATCCCCCTGCAGCGTGGATTTTGTGAAGTGGTCCTCCCAGGGGATGCTGAGAATGAGTCCCGATGCCATGAATGCCCTTTTTAAGCCAACCATTGACAGCATCATCGAGCACCTTCGTGAGTATTACCCAGCATTGGCCTACTTGAGGCAGAGCTGAGGATGCCTCCCCGCGTGCCCAGGGTCACCACCCAGCACATAGGCAGCTGCAGTGGCAGAGGGTACGGGGGAGCCATGGGCCCAGGCCTGTAGGAGCACATGGGGTTGGGTGTGTGTTAGGGGGGTCACTGGGCACAGGCCCTGGGCCCCTCTCCTTGGGAAGGTTTCCTCACCTGGGCGTCACTTCGCTTCGGAACTGTGCAGCCTTATCTTAGAGGACAGGCCCCAGGGCGTGCATCTCGTGTGTAAAGTGAGGACTCCTTCCCTGCTAGGAGAGAAGCACTTGTCCTGTGAACCAAAGGGAGGTTCCACTTTGGGGACAGACAGATTCTGGCCACCCCACTGAGTCAGTAGTGCTTACCCAGGGACACCCAGTGACTCACTGAACTGTTTTCAGTGTCCAAACCCCTTGTCCTCTCCTTACCCCTCACCTACCGAATCAGAATGCCTCGGGGTAGGGTGAGATTTTTCTGAAAATCAGTGTCCTATTTATAACAGCCTGCCAGACCTATTCAATAGAGCCACAAGTTTGGAGGATATTCCTTTATGCATAACAAGTTTTTAGCGTGAGCACCACCTCTCTGTTAAAATGGGATTCTGCTCAGTAGCAGCTCTCGCCTTAATTCCTGAGCATTCTGCCCTGAAAACTCCTCTTCTTCCAAGGATCAGCATAAAAATTCGGTTCAAGGAGCTCAGTTGGTTCAAGTGAATTCATCCCCCCCCCCCCCCCCGCCGACCCAGTTGCTGCGTTTTGCTGACATGACCCTCTCCCCGCCTTCCCTCCCTTTCAGGGGACCTGTTCCAGAAGCCCGAGGTATCCACAGTGAAGTTCCTCTTCCTGGTGGGCGGCTTTGCTGAGGCACCTCTCCTGCAGCAGGCTGTGCATACTGCCTTTGGCGACAAGTGCCGGATCATCATTCCCCAAGACGTGGGCCTCACCATCCTCAAGGGAGCCGTCCTCTTCGGCCTGGACCCGGCTGTGATCAAGGTGCGCCGGTCCCCGCTCACCTATGGGGTAGGTGTGCTGAACCGGTACGTGGAGGGGAAGCACCCCCCCGAAAAGCTGCTGGTGAAGGACGGCACTCGCTGGTGCACTGATGTCTTCGACAAGTTCATCTCTGCCGACCAATCTGTGGCCCTGGGTGAGCTTGTCAAGCGGAGCTATACCCCGGCTAAGCCCTCCCAGCTGGTCATTGTCATCAACATCTACAGCTCTGAGCATGACAATGTCAGTTTCATCACCGACCCAGGGGTGAAGAAGTGCGGCACACTTCGCTTGGATCTCACGGGGACCAGTGGCACAGCGGTGCCCACCCGGAGGGAAATCCAGACCCTCATGCAATTTGGGGACACCGAGATCAAGGCCACAGCTGTCGACATAGCCACCTCAAAGAGTGTCAGAGTGGGGATTGACTTCTTAAATTACTAGCCATTTCTCCTGCCCCTGCCACCTTGGACTGAGCCCCTTGTGTCTGCTCACCTCATCCTGACTGTTCTCCCTGGACCTGACCCTTGCCATTGCCCACCTGAATTTCAGCAGGAAAGATGGAAAGAACCAGAACAAGAAATAACTACAGATTTTTTTGAGGGCACACTGGAGTCAGAAAAATAGTCAGAAATTAAGATTGAGGTGTGGGACCCGGAAATTCAAGGATCCTAGAAGATCAGCTAGTCTTGCTAAGTAGCAGAGTGGTGAACCAGCTACCTGAAAGGGAACCAGTACTTTTCTGAAGCAGTGGTCAAGCTGTGCTTTGAATCATCTCAGTTAAGTAGAATTTAGGATGTCCCCTTGCCATCTTTCCAGATTTGAAATGAGATTTTTGAACCAGAAGAAACTCAACATCTGAGATCCTTTTGCATTTGGATAGTAATCAGTATAAAATGCCACCCGTGTGCAGTTCATCTCTCCCCATCATCACAGGATTAAAGTGGTGGTTCAGTGGGAGCGTGCAGTGGTTTTAGCTGGTGGGAGAACACTGCCTACACTGGGCAGTATTTTCAGTTTTCATATAATATAAATCCCAAGCAGGTTTGGTGCCGAAGCCATGGTGAAGCCCCTAGGCTTTGGGGGACAAGCAGTGGTAATACCTTATCTTTTTAGAAGGTAAAATTTTGATGCAATTGAAATAGATTTTTAAAGAGCTGCCTTATCCCAAATTACAGCTGACCCCTTTTGTCTGTGGAGACACGTGCCAAGATCCCCAGCCCAAAGCCAGAAATAGTATGGAACCCTATGCTTTCTGCGTTTTGTCCTATACTTATATACCTGTGTGAAAGTACAGTTCACAAATTAGCCCTACCAAGAGATGAATGACAGTATCTACTAATAAAAATAGGACAATTATAAAGGTATATAGTAATAAAATTTAAATTCTTTCTCTTAAAATATCTTATTGGCTTGTCCTGTATTTTTGGACCATGGTTGACAGTGGGTAATTAAAACCACAGAGAGCAAAACCATGCCTAAGGAAGAAATTATTGCCTATGTGGTAATATAATTTGTGATACTTAATGCCAAATTCTGGTTTTGATAATTCTAGTTAGTCTGCAGGGATTGAGCATGAGAAATTGAGCTTGCTGTTTGTCTTGTTCGGATCACTTTGTCCCAAAGTCTAGAATAGCCCCTTGCCTAGAAAAACATACTGATTTTAGATTAGTCCCCTCCCCTGCTCCTTCTCTTCCTGCTCAGAGTTTTGGCCGTTCCTTCCCACACTGTGACAGGAATGTGTTGGTGAAATAGGAAAGAAGGATCTGTTCCTTGAACTGCTTCATTAGACCTTTGTTTTCAAATCTGCTGTATTTGATGGATTAAGCTGGATTTTTTCCCCCCCTAAAGCAGATCTGTGGCATCAGATTTACCTGGGTGCTTGGTAAGAGCAGGTGCCTGGATATGATCTTTTTTTTTTTTTTTTTTAAACTGAAGCTAACTTGGAAGAGCAAGACCAGAACCTGCATTTTTGTTTTGTTTGTTTGTTGTGCTTCAGGTGCAATTTGAGAATTACTAATTTTAGGTCTTGTCCAAGTTGAGGCACAGACCACAGGCTGTGCCCCGCAACCTTTCCATCAGACATCCCTTTGGGAAAAGAGTTCACCCCATACTTTGTCCTCTTAGGGAGTAGAGCAGAGGTCCACACCTAGCCTGGGGAGGAACCTTTTAACCCTCTCAGGAAGGTTCTGAGGAGTGAAGAGATGGTAAGAAAGGAGCCCCAAGAACAGGGTCGACTGCACTGTGACTACAGTCCCTCCTTCCCCACTGCACAACACCAGTGCACTGCAACATTCCAGAGCCAACTGAGGATAAAGAATTGGGAATCTGCCTTGGTCCAGCTTATCTGTTCAAAGCTGTCTTTTCCACCTGCTGGAATTCATTCTGATTTCCTATCACTGCAGGCATGCATAATGAATGAGTAGAGAACGAGAGAAGGAACTTCGAATGCAAGTTGGATTCACAAACCCAGTAGCATAGCCAATATGCAGATTTTAAATAGCATCTCCAATCTCATTTCAGTGTGTCTTCTTTTTCACATTGCCTACTGCAGAATTCTCCACTAGAATGTGAAACAGGAACACAACACAGAACTGGAGAATGTGAATCTCGCGACTGAGCTGTGGGATTTTGCATCCAGGCACCAAGGTGTGTTTGCTAGGGGTCTCCTGCTGCCCGCTCTGCTTCAAAGGCTCAATATTATGGGTCCCTATTTCATGTTGCTAGCTGTAGTCTACAAAGAGGACTTTTCAATTTGGTTATGAGTAATATAATTTTATGTACATACAATATTAGAATCTTGTACAGAATCTTTATTTCTACAATGTGCTTTTGTTTAAAAAAAATAAGGAAGATACATTTTAATTTTTGTTGCTGATATTGCTGCCCTTAGTCTTCCGGTTTCATTTCTAACTATCTCTCACTAAGCATTGATTTGTACTGATTCCAAGCACTGGACAAGACTAAGAAATGGACAGAGGAGCCTAGGATCAGAATACTCTGAATACAGGGATTAACAACTTCACTGGACCTTTCCACGTGCGCATCCTTCCCAGAGAGTCACAGGTTATAGGTAAAGGAACACCTGGGCCGAGTCTCCTGTCCAGACTTCGAGAGCTGAACGTCCCAGTTCTGTAAGCAATGTTACTATGTAGAAAAATCCATGAAAACTCTGTGTCAGTGGGTTGTTGGCCTCTCTTTGTGAGACAAAGCATTGACTCCAAAGACAAAGCTTGGTCTACGTGTGTCCATCAGGGTCGAAGGGATGAATGAGCTTGGTATATAAGCCAGGCTTTTCCCTTGGGTTGAGTGTAAGTGTGACAGAGTCAAGCCCCTCTCTCCTGCTAGTGTAAACTGCTTCCTGCATTGCATTCAGGCTATCTCTTTGTCTACTATTTCTCTTAAATGACCTTATAGAAATCTGCACTGTTGGCCAATTGGTAACGGACAGGGGGTGATAATGACCTGGATTCTCTTCTGGCCCCAAAGATGCAGCCCCTGTAGTCAGACTCCTTAAACAAAATCCCCTATCCGTCCCTTTCCCTCACTGAACTACTCTAGAATAAGAGCACTGGATAAGTATACTTGGACATAAGCCTAATCTTAGGAAGTTTCTAGAAGGTCTGTGGTCTTGACCAATTACTTACTTGTCCCTGGCATATTATCTGATAGGTGCTTTCTTATAAGCAGGGGTGTTGGTTTCCTTTGTAACCACCTTTTATATATACACAAAAGCAGGTATTACTACATACTGAGTGACAAATTGTTTACAGCCAGCTGTGATAGGAAAGAGGCGGATTCATAGGAGTGATTTTGCAGAGTGATAGCTATGAAGAATCTAGATTAGAGAACCTGCCCCACCCTTAGAATGTTATTTAGACCAAGTCTAGCTTTTAGAGTCCAGGTCTGGTTAATTGCCAGGGTAGCAATGGATCGCATGCACCAATATAAACAGGAGTCAAAATGCATTATTAGTTGAAGATCGAATTTCACATGTACAGATGTAACCGCTGTGATTAAGCTGCACATGTATGCTGGGGAATGGCTTACGTGGATGACTAGTATAAAAGTTGTTGGCCATAATGTCACCAAGACCTCTTATTTGCTTGAAATATGGATTCTAAAATCTCTGCCACTGGGGGTCTTGTTCACTACAAGATAAACCAAACTTCACAGAACTTTGCAGCAGTTCACAACTGGACAGGATTGTATCTACAAACTCTCTTGTCTTCACAGATGTCTAATAAAGTAAAACTCTGGATCTCATGTGGCTCAGATTTTTTTTGCCTCTCCCCCATGCTGGATTTGTAAGCAGACTTACAACTGGATCATTACCGACCTCCCCTGCATTCTGTCTCACAGGGAGAATGATTTCCAGGTCCCTTCATAGGTGGTATAATTTATTAATAGTTGTTTCAACAAGGCTAGCCCTTCACTACTGTGAACCAAGGCACCACTGATGGTCATAGTTCTCTTCCTTCAAGTAGGAGTGAAGTGGTCAGACACACAGAAGGCAGCAGTGTGGGATGACTCCTCTGCTGCTCCCAACCGAAAGTCATCCAGACTTCTGAAAGGCCTGGGATGACTCCTTGCCCTCTGGCACCCTGGCAGATCCATGAAACTGAATGTCTAGATCTTTTGATTTCTTCCAGACTCTATCCCTGGGGTTCCCTCCAAGCTGGGTTTAGAATCTTCTAGAAGGCCTCAGTTGAGGTCCAGGCCTCTGCCTCCACCTGTGTTCATCTGAAGTTCATTTTTCAAAAGAGCAGAGATAGATGTGGGCAGTGCTTTAAGCAGACTTGAGATACATACCCTGGAATACTCCCTAGTGCTGTCCGTCTCCATTCCCTTTCCACAGAGGCAAGAGCTTCAGCCTGCTCTGTGCAAGGCTGTTCATTCCCTGGGTGTCTGGCTCACACGGTGGCATTGTGGTGGGAGTCAGTCTAGTGAGAGACTTTCCTCCTTTGCTTCTATAAAATGAAGGTGGTTAGAAAGAAGTAGCGCTCAACCTCCCAGCATGCCTCTGTTTCAGTACACTGTTCCTTCACATGTTCTGGGCTCCTGCAAAATCTGACCTCTCAAACAGGAGACAAAAATGGGCTTAGGGGTGTGTGGCAGGGGCTGCCTGATGTGCTGGCACGTGCCTGTAATCCTGAAATCAGAGGCTGAGGCAGGAGGATTGCAACTTGGAGCCCAACCTGCGAAAATTAGCAATTTGGAGAGATCCTGTGTGAAAATTAGAAAGAAAGAAAGAAAGAAAGAAAGAAAGAAAGAAAGAAAGAAAGAAAGAAAGAAAGAAAGAAAGAAAGAAAGAAAGAAGGAAAGGAAAGAAGGAAGGA